GAAAAAATGTTGATCTATGAATATATGCAAAACAGAAGCTTGGATGTCTCTCTTTGGTGAGTTTTACTCTGTCCTGTGTTAATGTTTTAGTAGTACAAATTTTCATTTCGTCATAAGATATATATATTTTAGGACCTTCTAATATCAATTGTATGTATAGATCAAACACAAATGGTTCTCGATTGGACGAAACGATTCAATATTGTTGAAGGTGTTGGCCGAGGACTCCTTTATCTACATAGGGATTCCAGGTTGAGGATAATCCACCGAGATTTGAAGCCAAGTAACATATTGCTTGATAAGGAGTGGAATCCCAAAATTTCGGACTTCGGAATGGCACGAATATTTGGAGGCGATCAAAATCAAGCCAACACTAGAAGAGTTGTAGGAACATAGTAAGTCTATCCTGAATTGCTCCATTTTTATATTGTCATAATCTCAGTATTTTGTTTATCATGACTGAAATGTCTTGTTCTAGTGGATACATGGCCCCAGAATATGCATTAAGCGGCAGATTTTCAGAAAAATCGGATGTTTTCAGTTTTGGAGTTCTAGTATTGGAGATCATTAGCGGGAGAAGGAACTCAAGCTTCTACAATGAAGAGCTATCTTTAACCCTTTCTGGATATGTAAACCCTATCAAATTCTTCTGCCAAGCAAGAGTTTAACTTTACTTTCTCATTTCTAACTGAACAAACCCTCTGTATCTATCAGGCATGGAAATTATGGAGTGAGGACAAATCCGTGGAACTCATAGATAAAAGAATATCAAATCCAAGTTTCAATGCAGAAATCACGAGATGCATGCACATTGCGTTGTTGTGTGTCCAAGAATCTCCGTTAAATAGGCCAAGTATATCAACCGTTCTCTTAATGCTCAATACTGAAATTGTTGATCTTCCATTGCCAAAGGAACCTTTATTTACGGATAGGTGGAATCATCCCCATTTAGGATCTTCTTCAAGCCAAACAAGCTCTGCCAACAAAATTTCTTTCACAATTCTTGATGGCAGATGAGATGAGTATTCTCAGAATCAATCCTCTGATTATCTATATTCCATTGGCTGATAGATTTAGAAGTAAATTTTGGCCAACCTATTTTGCATATATTCTTTTACTGTATATACAGATTACATCGTTGTGTAAACTACAACTTCACACAGTTGTTTTGTGTGAAGAAGATACATCTTTTCTTCTTATATATGTTAGCTTCTTGCATTCCGTCAATCTTGATAAATTTTAAGCTATTTACCATTTATCAGATATTAGATAATCAGAAACAAGATTGAATCCTCCCAGACGACTGCAAGAATGGACAAACAGTTTTGCAGAATTTTTTCATTTCATAAGTAAGAGAGAGAAGGTTAAATAATTAGGCACATGAAAATTGGGAATTTTATTTTTCAATGACATTGAAGACTTTTTGAGCAGAAGTTTGACTCTCAATATCACTGCAAAAAATGGGGCAAAAAAGTAGCATTTTTAGAAGAAAGATAAGTTGGTACTAACTATTTTGGCGGAAAGGTTCAAACCCACTAATCATGTTTGAGCAAACTTTTTTGGGTAAATTCATCCGCGGCAACTATATTTTTACTTCACTGTCAATACTGTACTTAATTTTATTCAGTCAGATAGCTATAGTCAAAGTCCAATAGAACTTCTGCAATCTGGGATTTCATTCCTTCTGCCAGTGGGCCAAATCGGTCGATACGTTTACCGTGAGAGGACCTCTAACACAAACAGAGGTAAGCCTTTTTAACCCAATGATATATATATTCTTTTACAATTAATTAATGCATTAATGGTTTGTTTATTCACTCACTGCTACTTGTTTGCTAAATTGTTTCCAGTTTTCCACTGCTATTAAGATTTTGACAGATGATTCACCATACAAAGTGCCAGGTGTTCGTGATTTCTACAACTTGAATTAGTAAATAGCGTTCGGATTGTTTACGAGCCTTTTTCTTTGATAAAAATAAGCTGCATAGGGTTATCTATTTAGGAAATAAGACTTTACTGCTTTCCTTTTTATTTTCTTATTTCATTATTCTGCTTGTATTAGCTCTTCTATTCTTGTAATAATGCCGTTGCTTAAACAAAGATCTAATCCCTTATATGAACAGTCTGGTTTTTATCGGAGTAACCAGTATTTACTCTGTTTATGTTGATTCCAACCATTTTTTTTTCTTCCCTTAAGGGACTAGGATACCCGTTAATTTATAAACGAATCACTGACAGCAGTTGGTGCTACCGATAGTCTTCAATAAGTTATGCTGGACGTACAGGAAAAGTATTATCAGAATTTTTATAGATACGATTGGCAGCTTTTTATTGGACAAAGGGAGAAAAACAGAAAGTGACCAAACTGCACCTACATAAAAAACTGCCTGGTATAGAATTTTCCATCTCCAATAGCAAACTCCAGTTGTTGAAGTAAAAATAATATGGCACAACATAAATATCACATAGAATACATCATCGGTATTCGAATACTGTATTATACTCTAGCAAGGGTGACATTACGTCAACAATTAGAAATTAGTCGATCAAGTATTTTATGATTAAGTTATAAGACTGAGAAGATTAGTTGTGCGAATAGCATTATTATTTTGTTTAAACGTTTACGTCCATTGTTGACCAACACCTGTATTAGGTCATCGCTGTCCTTAATTAATCATTCAGTATATTTTATTCAACAAATGCGCTTGAGAACACTGTGGGAAATTGGGGATAGAGAAACAACTTCTTGTTTGAATATGGTCTTCCTCATACAAAAAACCAGTATTCTTAAAAGCGTAATGCGTAACGATGCGTTGATGTCAAGCTAAGGGCAATGCGTCATTGAGCGAGGCAAATGCATACAAAAGCGTTTTCTTTTTTTAATTTTATTTTAAATTTTTAATCAATAAATAATTATTTAATAATTATAAGTTTTAACTTTAAAAAAAAAAAAAAAACTAATAATGCGTGCCTAGACGCACATTGGCGCCTTAGCCTCGCCTTGCGTTCGTTGACCGTCAAATAAGGTGCCAAGCACTTAGCCTCATGCATTGGCGCGTTATTTAGAACACTGCAGACAACCATTTGATATAATTTGTGATGTTTTCCCCCCGAAACCACAAAGAACTCACTCGTTAAAACAAATTAAATGAAAACAAAAGCAAGAAAATCAAAGTAAACAAGCGATGATTTGAAAACTCCAATTAAGCGATAATGCTCGTTTCTCCACTATTTCATCTCTCTCTTTGAAATCAATGATTTTTCGTTGATTGTGGCTTTCAAACCAGGGGCAGACCCAGACATTTTGTACCGTGGGGTCAAAAATTAAAATATTTCTTTTTCAAAATAACATATTATTAATAAAAATAAGTCAATATACTACTAAAACTTTAGCCTGTACGTCTTCAATTGATTGTTCCAAATTTCAAATATTAGACTATTGGACATACCAAATTGTAAAAAATCCCTATATTTGCAGTACAAAAATCAGCCAATGTTTTCAATTCCTCAATTTTAGACATCCTGTTCCAATATTTTCAATCTTTAACTATCAAAAGCAGTTTAACAAGTGCGCTTTGGTTTTCTTTTATCTATTTGAACCATTTCTTTATCACATGTTTTTTTGATACAAAATATTAAATCGAACCATCTATATAGAAATAAGGAACAAAAAAGCCTTTGAGCCAGGTTAAAAACCAGGCTCAAAGATAGGGGTGCCACATGGCGCCTCCTCAAAAGCAGGGTTCAATAAGGAAACCCTTTAACCTTCCAATTTACAATGTAACATCAAAACCCTTTATTCTTCCATGTTTATAGAGAATTCAAAATAATAATAATAATAATAATAATAATAATAATAATAAAACACTATCAATATCAGAAATCAGAATGACAGAATCTAAAGGCTATTCTACATCTATCATATACTTGATTTCTTGTGTTATTACTACTCAAAAACCACATAACCAAACAAAAACATACCAATTACCAACGCCAATAGCATATATTAATTTACCTACGACTTCGGTTGTTTGGCTTTAACAATTAGCCATAGCAGGGGCAGAGGGAGGAGGGTTTTATTTCATTTGTTCCGTGAAGAGAAAACAAGAAAAGAGAATGGAAGAGTCGAAGAGAGACGGCCTCAGTCTAGGATTGGGAAGTGAGAAGATTGGAATTCACTGGTCATATATGTTTAGTTGGGTAAATGGAAAATGGGTTTGAGTTGTGGGCTGTCGGATGACAATTAGGTTAACTGGCTAGGTGGGTTAAAAATAATAACCCCACATGATCCCAAAGGGGTCCGCCCTCAAACAACAAGCTTCATGCATTATCATCAATTTCCAATATGGTAATTCTCTATTTTTTTAGTAAAATCTAAGTTAGTAATAACACCACAATCTCTAAAATAACTGAAGCATTTGATGCAAGTAGTCTTGGTGGCTAACCTGCAATGACTAATTTGCTCTTAAGGTTCATATAATGCAGAGTGGATAGGACTTCATGAGTAAATGGGATAGGAGTCGTTGGGATATTTCTAGCTAGCTGGGAAAGTGATCTATCTCGTGGATTCGTGCCATGTGAAAAATGAAGTGTGGTATAGTATTTGATTTGATTTCTAATTAATACAGACTTCACAATATAAAATCTGAAATTGCAGTGACCTTGATGAGGGACACTAATATTTGAACCACCCCTCCCCCAGGTGGGCTGAGTATTATGGCTACCTGGGCTTGAGTGTCCAGTCACAGCCTGTATCCCAAACTGGACCAATCAAGTTATGGGCTGGGCTTTCCTGGCCCTAGGCAGCTTGACTCGCTAGTAAATGTAGGTTTGGAAGCCCATTTATTTTTGTACTAGTGTCTAGCCATGCAATGCATGGCTTGAATTTTCTTGAAGGTGATATTAGTGTGGTGACTTACTTGAGTATTGAGTATTCACGAGAGAGAATTACATTGAATGAATTTTTGGGAAGCGAAGTAAGTATTTAGTTGATTTTGACAAATAGACAAAAAATAATAAATTTTCAGAGAGAATTTCTTCACTCTCTTTCTCCCTTTCACATGAGAAACAGAAAAATGAGTTTTCTTAAAAAGGAAAATATATCAAAGCAATCTTTCTAAAAAAGAGAGAAAAAAAAATATGACATGTAAATTATCTATATTCTATTCATCATCAACCATAAAATATGAACTATAAAGCAGACATAGCCAACACTATATTTTTATTCTCACATATGAGAAATAGGGAAGAAGGGAAAACAAAGAATTGAGAATTTGCAATAGAAAAGTGTAAAAGAAGTGACAATTGAAGGAATAATTGAACAATCTATATTTTCAATCTTGGATACTCAGCAATTAATTCAAGTAAACCACAATATCTACTATCCATAGACTGAATGTTTTACATATATAGTATTCAAACAATTAGTAATTCTAAAAAACATTGATTGAAATAGATGTTGCCAGCTTTTTATTTCTGGTCCATTTGATTCGGGAGGTAAAATCAATGGAACTTCTTCTGGTAGAGACTTTGATGAAAATTAATCCTTCATGCTGATGTCCTTGTGTTTCACTTCAAAATTTTTATAATGTCTATTACTTTGCTTCTTCCCATCTAATAAGCTAAAACCATGTGGTGTTGTTGCTTAAGTAATGGTAATTTCTGTTTATTAAAAAAAAAAATCACGAGCTAGAAACAAGTATGTAAGTCCAACCTTTTCATGGTTCCAACACTGAATGAAGTGCCGGGCAATGTCTCTACAAGATGATTCTCAAAGAGTACAATGAACATTGTGTCATGGTATAGGAGGATATTTCTTTTGATTGAATTAATCTTTCACAGCATTTTCCGAATAATTTGGTTCCGGTTCTATATAAAATTCAAAGGAGTTAATACATATATCAAAAACACTGGAGTGCTCTACATATCTTCTACCTATTGAGAAGAAAATCAAGTCTCAATCAAAAATACTGATTAATATTATTGGCTTTTAGTCACTTACCTAGTAGATCTATTTATGGGACGATGCTATGATTTCTCTATTTAGGATATGTTTTATATTCACTATCGAAATTTGTAACATATGGTTCAAGAATCA